GGAAACAGTGGAAGAGGGAATTGGAGATCCTTACCCCCAAACCCCCCCCCCCCCCCCACTCCTCCCCTTCCCCCCGCCCAACACGCACTGTACGCGCTGGGGCGCACCCGCGGGCGTCTCGCACAAGTCCCGCTGCCCCTCCACACGCCTGCACCCACCCCGCACCCCACCCCGCTTGGTGCGCTCCAGCGCTACACGCCACCGCGCGAGAGAGAGAGAGAGAGAGAGAGAGAAAGAAAGAGACAGACACACAGGGACCCACGGACAGACAGAGACCCAAGATGGCGTCGAGAGCGTCCGGCAACTCCGTGCCCAGCCTCATGGAGGGGTACCTCGGGAAAAAGGGCAAGCGGATGGGGAGCCGCGTCAAGCGGTACATGCGGCTGGACGGCGCGATTCTGAGCAACCACCACGCGGCGGGCGCGCCACCGAGCTGGCGCGTCAACGTCAAGGACGCCGTGATCGGCCACCACGCCAAGCGCCACAAGGTCACCATCGAGTTGTACAACAACAAGCTGGAGCTGTACGCCGAGTCTGCGCGCGAGAGCTCGCAATGGTTCGACGCCCTGCGCAACGCCAAGAAGAAGGCCGCCTCGCGCGACGCCGCCCCCTCCAACGACTCCATGCCCGCCGCCAGCGTCGACCTCCCCGCAGACATCGACGCCTCCCGCTCCCGCTCGCAAGCCGACCCCGTCGAGGACAGGCAGGACCGCCCCGCTAACGCACGCGCCCACCTCAGTAACAACTTCAAGGTCGTCAAGCCCGCTTCCAGGAACGTCTCAAGCACAGACTCGTCGGGCTCCGATGAGGCGTACGAAGGCGGCCCGCTCGTCGTTCAGGGACAGGTCTACGAGGAGACCCCCGCCTCGATGATCTTCAAGCAGTTTACGTTCCCGGCAAAGTAAAAGAGGGAGGGCGGAGGAGGGAGGAAGGAAGAGGGAGGAGTTGTGCGAATGGGGGTTGTGCGGATGGGGGTGATTGACTTGTAATTTAATATTACTGCAGCAGGCGCGCCTCCCTTTCGACACTGGAGAAGGGCGTGGGGCACCGTGGTTTTTTTTTTTTTTTGTTGTTGTGCTGTGGGAAAGCGAGGGGACGGGGGGGGGGAAGACGTTTGGTGCAAGTCGTTTTGTCGTAGCAGAGGGCGAATAAAAAGCTAGCGATGAAGACAGGATTTGCACCCCGCCGCAAGTGCTGCCGTCGCCACAGCACCCCACGCGCCTGTTCCGCGCGAGCACAACTGCAGAGGGGAAGCGCGCGTGCCGCCGCGTGGACGCGCTGGCGAGCGACCGCGGAAGGACCATGCAGAAGGACCATGCAGAAGGACCATGCAGAAGGACCGCCCGAAACCAAAAGGAAGAGCTAGTCATTCCTGACTACCCTGTTGTCGCCGCGTAGAGCAGCACCTGCACCCCCTCCGCAGCGCTGGAGACTAATAATATTAGTCGCCTCGGGGGGGTCGCGCAGCCGTGCGCGCGCGCCGCCGGGGCGAACGGGAGGGGGCGCGCGCTGGAAGGTGTGTGTCGCCGGCGTGCCGCGCGGGAATGCGGGCGCGCGCGTAGCCGCGTCCGCCCCCCGCCACCTGGAACACCTCCGCACGCCCCGCCCTTTTATTCCGCTTTTTCAACCGCCAGCTCGCCCCCCATTCGCCCCCC